CTACTACTGGTCAAATCGATGGAGTTATGATCAACCTCAACATAGTCAACGGTGGGAAAGCAACCAATCTTGGGGAAACAACCAATTCCAAAACCCATACCAAGCTTGGGGAAATGACCAATACCAACTAACTCCACAGTTCCAACAACCATATTCTCCCCCTCCTAAACAACCTGAAACGTCAAGCATGTCCTTAGAAGACATTGTCAAAAGCATTGCCACTACTACCCAGATCTTCCAAGAAACAACCAAAGCTAGCCTCAAAAGATTAGAGAAACAAATTTCACAACTTACTCAATCTGTGAGTATATTAGAAACTCGAGGAAAACAACCATCATAGACGGAGGAGGACAAAAGGCATACCGTTTCTTCCATCACCTTGAACGATGGGAAAAATGTTGATGGTCCAAGATTGAAATTAGAAGATGGGAAGAAGAGGAAGAAGTAGATGTGGAAAAAGTTACCGAGGAAGAAGAAGAAGAAGTAAAAGTGGAGAAGGATGTCAAGGAAGCTATAGAGGAGGTGTTGGAGGTTGACAAAAGAGAGGTTAAGTCACCCATTACCAATGAGAAACCCCTTTCATTGGTAGACCAACCACAAGAGTCGAAAATGATAAATCTGCCAAAACCTTCAAAGGACATGTATCTCAAGAAGGAAGATACCCAACCGGTCACTAATCCGACCACCCTATCAAAGAAGGAAGAGTTGATGACCTTACAGGACAAGTACAAAAAAAGGGTCGGTTGGACGCTTATGGACATTAAGGGTCTAAGTCCAGTATGGTTCCCACGCAAAAAGAAAGTCAAGTATAAGATAAGTGTTCCATTGAAGGAAGCAGCGAGAAGGTTGATGTATTTGAGAGCCCCACATACTTAGATTGATGCATATTCAGGGGTCATGTCGAGCCAACGACTTTAAACAAGGGCGGCTAACCGGGAGGCAACCCAGGGTTATTTTTGTCCTTTCTTTTAAAACTTTTTAGTCTTTGGTAAATTTCAATTTTGTTTTTATGTCCCAAATGGTTTTAACTTATTTTTTATGCCTAGAAAATGAATCTCCGGCTCCAAAAATACTTCACGAATAGCTTGGGGAGGATGAAGAGGAGGTTCTCACCATAATTGCAAGGCTCCAAGAATGATTTGGTAAATTCTTTCCATATCTTTAGTCATTCGTATTTTTCTTAAAAATTCAATTGGTATGCATCTGTGACTGTTTTGGACCCATTCCCAACCCAACTACTATCCTCCACCATCCGAATCTCAATAGGCCGGCTATGCCTGTCTCCAAGCATCGAGGATGATGCTATATTTTAAGCTTGGGGAGGGGCATCCATCCATGCATAAATCCCGTTGCGTGTAGGTTGCATGTAGTTTTGTACATATTGCATTAATTTTCATTTAATTTTCTTTTTCATTTTTTTTCTGCATGGAAAATTTTTCAAAAAAAAACAAAAAGATTTTCTTTCTATTCTAATTTTTATTATTTTCTTTGCATCTAAATTTTTGCATTGCATTCATTGCATAATTATAAAAAAAACGATCCAATCCCAAGCAACCGAATCTTTTCAAAACAGTTGAGCTGGTAAATGAGTCATGTGCCTTGAAATTGGCTTGCTCTTTTTATTGAAAAATCTAAAAGCAAGTTAAGCACACACGAACACACCTCCCGAAGCTACTTGTGCAAAACAGAAAATGAGAAGATTGTCAACACTGGAGCATAACAGCAGGTATGAGTCGATTCTTTGGGACATATGACCGGTCTTATGAGTAGTAATGCTCAATTGAACTTAAAATGCCAAATTCAAAAGTTCATAAAAAGAATGCAAAATCTCAATGTCCCGCCTTCCAACGCTCTTAAAAGTCTTTTCTACTCATTCCCTTTTATATACCCTGTTCGGGGACATAGCTTTCAACTATACTTACGGGTCTTTGCATGTTAACATTTAGTCCCTCGAAAAATGTCTAGAAGTCCCTCACGGTAATAAATCGTGAGATGTCCCACAATAGAAAAGTCAAGGACGAAAATATAAAGAAATTGGCCAAATAAATAAATTAATAAGAGTGTTATGTGTTAACTTAGTTATTTGTATATGTGTTACATAAAATTAAAAAAAAAAAAACTATTATTTAGTTAATCTGTGACCTTTGGGATTCGAACAAGTAAACTTTGAGGGGTGTTTTACACCTAATCGCCTAAAGCTAAATTGTATGGGACTGATTGAGTTGAAAATTCGTTACACGGGTTTCATAGAAAGTCATAAACTTAATAATAGCAAATAAAGCTAATCTGTGGCCTTTGAGATTCGGGCAAACAAACCCGAGGGATCTCTTTAAATCTAGCACACTAAGGTCATTTGATTTGGATGTGTTGGTTGGAAGCCCGTTACACGGATTTCAAAGAAAGCCATGAGCTTTATTTGTAAAAAAATGTAATTAGGAAGTTTGTATATAATTGTGTTTATAGTTTAATTGAATACTATCTTTAGGAAAAATACTTGGCTGTCAAAAGATTCCCTTGGACTTGCATTTGAATTTATGACATTGGACTGAATGTTAATTACTTCGACTATTGTAAGTGGTTTGAAGTTTGTAACCAATCTGGATAAATATTAGGGAATTTTTAGAAAAGATTTTTCAGAAAAAGATTGTTGTTGACCAACAAATAGCTGGAATCGAACATTGTTATATTTTATGAAACAAAGATGGTTGAACATGTTTTGTCACATATAATTTCACGAGAGTAAGACCATAATTTGTTCCAAGAATTGACTTGATGATATTGAAAAGGAATAAGTGTTGTGATCTTTGATTCTGTTGAGTTATACTAGGGAGTGGCCAAAGTCTTGTTTCTATTATCATATAATATTTTGAGACTAAATCCAAGTTAACTCAAGGCATGACAGGTACATTCTCAACTATGGTACAAAACAGGGTAATTGGGTTGGATCTTTTCATGTTTGTTTTGATTTCATGCATTAAGTTTCAAATAGTTTTAACTTTAATTTTCTTTTCTTCTATTCTATTTTATTTTCTCCAATTTAAATCTTCTTGTTCTTTCTTGAGGACAAGAAAGTTTAAGCTTGGGAGATTTGTTAGGTGCATTTCATGTACCCATTTTGTAGCTTTATTTTATAAAAGTACATTGCATATAGGCTTAAACTCATGCATTTTGCATGTTTTTCGAGATTTTTCATGAGGCAATTTCATTCAAATACTTTTGTGATATTTCAGGGACTTTTGGAGGAAGGTTATTGTTGGAGGAGGTAAATAAAAGTTGCGGACAAAATTTCAGGACTTGCGGAGCACCGAGGAGCAAGATATCAAAGAAATGAAGATTTTGGCTTTACAGAGATTTACACGGCCGTGTAAATGCAAGCCTTGCGTTTACGCGGGCCGTGTAAACGTAGATTTCTGCGCAGTATATTTTTGCATTTACGTGGGCCGTGTAAACGTAAACGTGGGTTTTAAAGCAGTTTTTCACCATTCTTAAAGGGGGGAACCGACTTTTTACTTAGGGGGTCGACTTTTGGAGTAGAGAAGGCGAAATTCTTGAGGATTTTGAAGTTTATTAACACTTGGGAACATTTGATTTCATTTTGTAAGAACTTTAATTTCATTTTCTAGATTTGTGATCTTGTTTTAGCCATGAGTGGCTAGAACCCTAAATTCTCCAACTTTATGTCTTGACATTTGGATGTGATTTCAATCATATGACTTGATGTTTGCTTTCAATTTTCTATCTAGTGAATTTGATTTTGTCTCAATCGAATGTTTGATTCTAATTGTGATTCTTATTGGCCATTTGAATTAGGGTTAGATCATTCAAGTTATCTAATTGCAAAATCCGTAATTGTTTTGTAAATTGGACTAGGTAACAAGCACTAATCTGATTTCTATTGAATGAAATTAGTGTAAATCTATTCACACATTCTTATGCTTCCGAGCTTATGAGGAGTACTGAGTATTGTTGGGAACATTCACATAAGGTTTAATGCAATCTTTCAACCTAATTCTAAGAGCTTGTTTAGATTAGATTGGTAAGGTTAGGATTAATCAAAGAGCTTGTTTAGATTAGATTGGTAAGGTTATGATTAATCAAAGAGCTTGTTTTGGTTAATTATTGTGGTGAATGGGAAGTGTTAGAGCTTGTTAACACTTTCAAGTACCAACTTAGATAGAATTAAACAAATATCTTGTCATCTATGGAATCACATTGCTAATTTGTCTTGCATAGAGTTGGAGTTCTCACAAATCTTGAATTTGTTTCATTTAATTGATCATTTACTTCTTGCTTTATCCTCTTGTTTAAATCATTGCATACCAACCCCCCATTTATTTGACCATTATTGTACCTTCCGCAAAAAGGTATAAACATTTGTTCCGTGTCTCTATGGATCGACCCTGCTTACCTTGTATTACATTTCTAGTACAAAGTAGTAGTGTTTAAGGAGTTATTTTACCCCTTTATTTGTTGAGTTTGACACGCTTAATATATATATATATATATATATATATATATATATATATATATATATATATATATAGGGTTAGGATCATATGAGACCACTAGATTTTGTGAGATGGGGAGACCAAATCTTGACCACTCATCCTGAATAATCAAAAGCTGGTATTAATTTAGATTAAATCATAAAATAGGCAGTGACATTTTTGTAAATTAATGGAACTTTGGGATTAGATCAAGACACGGAGGGAGGGGAATGAAATTTTGCATTCTTTTTCATTCAGCACACAAAAACACCCGGTATTCTTCCTAAAGACTCTAGATACGAACACTAAAACCCATTTCATCCAAATCTCGATCATCGTTCTACTTCCTTCACACATTTGTTTCAGATTAATCATCAATCTAAATTGATCTACTAAATCGATCTCCTTATTCTCATTATACATGAAATTCATCTTCCGATTCATACACGAAAACCCATGATAATCAACTAGAACACTAAAAACCTTTTGATTTTGAATTTGATATCGAATCAAATGGCTCATTCTACAAATTTTGATTCTGATTTTGTATCAACAGCTGTTCCAAGTAAGTATAATACTATAAACCTCTTGTTCTTATTCAATAGAATTTTTTTTACTTTAAATCATTGTGTATCTTCAACAAATTTTTTATAATCGAGATATTTCACTAGCGATTTATATATCGAAGTCGGGATGTAATGGAATATAGCATTATAAAACATAAAATCTAAACCTAAATCTCAGTGTGTGATTTATATAGAGTCTATGTATCTAAATGTTAACTCTACATGTTATTCAAAAGTGTTCTAATTATTCCTCATTTCATTTGATCTAAATATTCTTAATCAAAATCAGCAAAAATGTTATGTTATTCTAACTAATTGTTCATCATTTAATTAGATTTAGATCCATAAATTGTCCAATACTATAGATTTTGGTAACATAAATCTCTTCTTATGATTGTAGTATAGTGTTTAGCTAAAAAAATCTTTGAATTCTAGTGAATTTTATGTTGATTGATATTACAAATTTGTTGTTATGTATTTATAGAACTGTGACCAGATTATATATCCTCAACTAATATGAATTCTAATGGAATTTGTTGCTACTGATGCAGCTAAAAAGTACAAACAAATGCAACTGTAAGAAAAACAAGGAAAGAAATTTTTACAGATAAAGGTATAAATTGTAATTACTTTTAGATTAAATATTGAAATTGCTTTTAGTAACTTCTAAATTCTTTTAATAAATATTCTAATTGTTTTTATTTGATAATTTTCTTCATACAGATTCAGGGGATCAAGATAGCGTTAAAAAATGTATGAACACCCTTTCTTTCAAAAATTCATAAAAAGCAAATGTTTGGATTTATTTTTTTAAGTTAATTATTCTGAATATTCTAATTTTGTTTATCATATATTCTAATTGATTTTAATTGTTAAATTTCATGATAAAGATTTGCAAATTGTTAATAAAAAAAAAAGATGGCAGATGAAAGGAAATCAAAGAAAAAAAATCGTTGTTACTTCTTAAAGAGATTCTGATTCCTTTTCTGATTCATCCTCACAACATAAAAAAAAAAAAAAGAATTAAAAAAGGTATCAACAATCATTCTTTAAAATACTTAACAAAAGAAAGTTTTTTGGGATTTATTTTTTTCAGCTGATTATTATGAACATTCTAATTGATTTCAATAAATATTCTATTTTATTTCAATTTTTAAATTTCTTCATACAACTAAAGATACAAAAAGGAAGAAAAACTTGAAAAGAAAATTATTGATGTAGATAAAGTAAAGAAAAATAAAAAAAGAAAAGTCATAAAACATTTCAAGCGCTACAGCAAATTAATCCATAATGATGTGAAGCACAAAAAGAAAAGCATGTTTCTAAATCTTCAACAGAATCAAAGACAGAATCAGATACAGAGTCAATGGGTAAAATAATCTAAACTTTTTTTTTTTTTTCTGAAATATGATTTTATACTTTATAATTCCAATATTATGGAACAATAGAAATATTAGAATGTTTCTAACAATAATTTTCATAGTCTATGTTTGACATGAATTGCTTATGGATCATATTAGAATGTTTCTGAAAGTATGTTTCTATGATGTGTAAAAAGAAAAGTACGTTGTCTGATATGAAAGTATTGTGATATGAAATGTTTATGGTTCATATTACACATTCTAGATATTATTATATCATAAATCATAAATTAGTTAATTTTTGTTGTCTTACTTAGTTGATATAGGATTTTGCATCATTTAAGTTTAATTTCTTATAAATATTATAATTTGAATAAATATCTACATTTTACTTAGATGATATAGAATTTTTGGATTAAATTTCATAGAATATTATGATATAATAAGTGTATATGCATAATATTCTGTTGGAATATTACTTTCTAATTAGATGATATAGGATTTTTGGATTTTTGTGGTGTTACTAACATTTATGACTGCTGTAATGAATTAGGTGATGAATCTAATGAAAAAATCTATGTAAAAAAGAGAATTGGTGATAGAAAATATGTTAAAGGAGTGACAAAGATTAAAGAATCAAAAAGGAAGAGGAATAGTGGGGACAATTGTGCAGAAATAAAGAAGCAAAAAAACGTGAAAGAGAAAAAGACAGTGAAAGATATATTGAAGGAGTTTCCTTCAATAAACACTGGATCGACACCTGGATTAATGATAGATGTTGTAAGTTCTTTGACATCAGAACAAAAAGATTGGGTGAAACGGATGGGATTTAAAGCATTTTTGAAGATCAACATTAAGACTATTCCCTTAAAACTTTGCCATTTTGTGCTTGAGCATTATGATGAATGCACAAACAGTATTTTGATTAAAGGAAAAAGAATAAAGATCACAAAGGAAAAAATTCATAAAGTGTTTGGTTTACCCAAAACTAGAAAAAGCTTATTTGTCTTGGATATGGTTAGCGAAGATCATCAAGTGTTTGATGGATGGATGAAGGAACTTAAAGGTGGAAAGGCACATACAACAAACTACAATAAGATTATTCAAAAATATGAACAAGTAGATATGAATTTCAAGCTGGGTTTCATAGCCTTATTTGTTAATACGTTTGCAGAATCCATTCCTATAGGGACAAACAACTTAGTTCCAGTTAGAGCACTTGTTGAAGTAGATGACATTTCAAAAATCGATTGGTATGCGAATTTGTTGTACTGTGTGAAAAAATCAAAAGGGAGATGGCATCCAGAAAACCCCAAGTGTTATTACAATGGACCGATGTTGTTGCTATTGGTATGTTTTTTCATGTACTTGTTTTTTTCTTAATAATGGATATCTAATATGATGTTTAAATAATGCAACTAATTTACTGCAATGAAATTGAATGCAAGCTCCAAAAAGTAGAACGCAAAACACCATTAGTTACAATGTGAACAACAGATAAGTTGAAGGAAAGACAATCATTTGAGATTGAAACTGGTGGATTTGTGGTTGGAAATCTAATTGAACAAAGTTCAAATTTAGATGGTGAGAAGAATGAGAATCTGGACACACATATTGAGGTAAATTCTAACTAGAATATATTATTTAATTATGTTTTAGATTATATTTTAATTATCTCCTAACTTAATATAAGATAAATATTCTAATGTCCTTTTCTCCCAGGAGTATGAAGAAAAGTATGAAACAATTTTTAACAATGTTTCAAATATTATTTTTCATTGTCTATCGAAATTCCCTGAAGACAATAGAACATAGCAGATGATAAGGAAGTTTAAAGACATATTTTCAATTACGAATTCAAAAGTCCGAAGTCATTTTCTTTGTCCCTAGGAATCTAAGTTCCAAAAGTAGACGAAATCGCTATGGAACCAAGAATGTTTCTTGAACATGTAAGACATTGAACCGTCCCGCTCTTGTGAACACTGATCATAAGTGGCAAAAGCCGCCGGAATCCTCATTTTTTGTCCATAAGCTCTCCTCGCTACTGTAATAATTTTCAATTTCTTTTTTACTATACACTGGTGCAGATGATTGCCCCCATCTATCAACGGGGGACCCCCTGAAACGCGAATAGGAAGCTTCAAGCGATCTGGGATCCCACCTTTGATCGAGATGAAGGTGTAGTTTTCACAAGGAATCCCAGGGTTGTCGATCAAGTGAAAGGAATCCCAGGGTTGTCGATCAAGTGAAGTAGTAAAAAATCAAAAATTATGAAGGAGAGAACTGAAGTCAAAGCAGATAGAGATGAAGAGCTTAATAAAATAAGCAATTCTGATTTTGATGATAATAAAGATGAAGGAATGAATACAAGTTGGTTGAATTTTAAACTGTTAAACTATTACAACAAAAGTTTCCAAAGAATGAAGAAAGACAAGTAGAAGATCAAGATATGAATGTTGACGACCCAATAAATTTGGGTTTATAGAGTAATATTGGCGAGGAAACTACTAGACATTCGCACAATCCAAAAAGACAAATAGAATTTTAAGGCATAAATGTTGATGGCAAAATAAATTTGGTTTTAGAGGTGAATAATATAGAGGAAACTATTGGAAAGAAGAATTTAGAAGGGAATATTGAGTGCAAAAATCTTGTTGAGGGTGGTGATGTAACACTTCGATTCTCAGGTATTGATTTTTGTCATAAGATTTCCTTGATTTCAAGAATTCAAGGTCTACTCAACGATTTGATTGCACTAACTTGTCGAGTAGCAGCGGGTTGGTCTACGTGTTTAAGTGACCTACTCGCCGAGTCAAAGAAGGGACTCGACGAGTAGGAGCTGGAGGATGAAACCCTTAATTTCCAGGGGTTTTCACGTTATTTAAAGGATCATTGGCCTCCCCATCCTCCTCTTATAGCCTCTTGATATTCCATAAACTCTAATTCATGTAAGTGTGCTCCATTTGGGTGCTTAAGCTTTGGAAGAGGATTTGTGGTGAGAAAAGCTTGGAGAACAAGTGATTAGAAGCAAGGAACGTGTGGGAATCAGAGATCTACCTCAGTTGGCATCCTTTAGAAGGTATTAAGCCGTTATCTTAACCTCATTTCATTCTAGATCTCTATTGGGTGGATTTTATGGCTTTTCTAGCATATTAAGAAGCCTTTCTTGTGTTTGAGCTAAGATCTGAGGTTGCAACTTCAGAACTGAACTCTCTTGGGTCTTTAAGTCCATAAAACTGCCAGCTTTTGCAAGAATGAGACTCTCCTAAGGTGTAAACCCCCACTGCAAGCTTGGATTTGTCATTTAGAGTCTCTAGAGCCTTACATGCACGTAAATTTTGCAACTTTACATGATAAACATGCCTTGGGGACTTGGATCTACAATATAGAACCTTAGCATGGCTTAAAAGCATCTGTTTGGGTGAATGACTGAAGGGACTCAGTGAGTTCCATGGTCAACTCGGCAAGTCCGATGAAGATTGTCGTAGACTTGGCGAGTCAGCAAGGGTTTTCCCTGCTGGATTAGATGTCTAAGCCCATAACTATTATTGGTATGTATTCGACCCGAGAGTAGCATGGTCCATTTGGGTTGCATGGCATCGGAACAATTGGATAGACAAATGAGAAGAGAATACTTATGGTTTGTTAATATATTATAAGTTCTAATATATTAATATGATTATTTAATTAGTATTGATCAAGAACTAATTTGGAATTAATTTTGTGATCAAAATTAGACTAATTAAATATATGGGGATTGATTGTGTAAATCATTCATTCTTATATAGTGGGCTTGTGATCCATGATTCACTAGATTGGGCTAGGACCCATTGGGTGCTCCATGGATGCTCCATGGAGGTTAAAACCCATGGATCATAAGGAAAATGAAAATCCATGCACATTAGGGTTTACATGATGTAACCCTACATGTGGCACACTATATAAAGACCCCATAGGCTAGAAAAATGGGCACATAGACAAGAACAAGGAGGGCTAGCCGATTTTGTGGTGAAGTATTCTTTTCTCAAGTTATTTCAAGGGTTTTTGGTGTTGTGTGAACCATTTGAGGTGCAACACTTGGGGCACTAAACTCTTAAAGCTTTAAGACTTCAAGCTCCATCAAAAGGTATGTTCCTAACCAAACTTTTGTACTATAGTTGCTCCATTGTATGTTAATTAGTATGAGAACCTTAAAAAAATCATTTTTTCATGAATAATAGAGAAAACATAGATCCAAGGTTTCTAGGGTTGCATGTACACCATAGGATTGTTAGAATGCTCAAAACCCATCAGTGGTATCAGAGCCTAGGCTTGGTTTTCAATTATACTTGATGCAATGGTTGAAAAATCAAATTTTATGTTGTCTGGTCAGGGGACTCGACGAGTCCAAGCACAAATTCATCCAACTCGTTGAGTTGGTTCATGCACTCGACGAGTTGGACCCCCTGACAGCATATCTTCGAGTTTTAACGTTGGAATTGGACTAGAATCATTACACTAAGCTGTTTTTGAACTTATAAACCTATTTTTAATGTGGTAATGATCATTCTAATCCAATTCCAAAGATAATTTTCAATAGATTCATGTTTTGTATTAGTTTAATGTTGGATTAGTGTCTAAGTCCATAACTATTTTGGTATGTACTTGGGGCACTAAACTTGGGGCACTAAAATCTTAAAGCTTTAAGACTTCAAGCTCCATCAAAAGGTATGTTCCTAACCAAATTTTTGTACTATAGTTGCTCCATTGTATGTTAATTGGGATGAGAACCTTAGAAAAATCATATTTTCATGACTAATAGAGAAAACATAGATCCAAGGCTTCTAGGGTTGCATGTACACCATAGGAGTGTTAGAATGCTCAAAACCCATCAGTGGTATCAGAGCCTAGGCTTGGTTTTCAATTATACTTGATGCAATGGCTGAAAAATCGAATTTTATGTTGTCTGGTCAGGGGACTCGACGAGTCCAAGCACAAATTCATCAAACTCGTTGAGTTGGTTCATGCACTCGACGAGTTGGACCCCCTGACAGCATATCTTCTAGTTTTAACGTTGGAATTGGACTAGAATAATTACACTAAGATGTTTTTGAACTTATAAACCTATTTTTAATGTGGTAATGATCATTCTAATCCAATTCCAAAGATAATTGTCAATAGATTCATGTTTTGTATTAGTTTAATGTTGGATTAGTGTCTAAGTCCATAACTATTTTGGTATGTACTTGACCCAATTATGAGCATGGTCCTTTTGGGTTGCCTTCACCATAGCAATATATAGGATGAATTAAGGAGAGAAAGGTTTAATTATGATTTATTAATATATTATAAGAAAAATATATTAAAGTAGAAATCATATTGTTTAATTAATATTAGTCAAGAATTAATTAAGAATTAATTTTGCGACTAAAAGAGATAAATTAAACTTAAGGGACGGGAGTTGTAATTATAAGATAATTACAATTGGGCTATGGATCACCTAATAATATATAGGTTGGACAAATTCTATGGGAATCCCATAAGGAATTTGTCCAAGGAGTCCATGGGCTGCTTAGGGCCAAAGCAGTTATTGCTATATAACAATCAAAGGTAATTACTAAACCCTTATTTCAGTTCATCATATGTTAGATCTAGGGTTTATAGCTTTGTATAACATTCCCCTCTAGCACGTATCACAATATTGTCCGCTTTGGGCCACTTGGCACGAGGACTTCTCAGGGGGTCACCCATCCTGGTACTACTCCCGCCCGAGCACGCTTAACTGCAGAGTTCTTATGGGATCTGATGCCCTCACGGCTTTAAAACGCGTTGTGATAGGGAAGGTATCCACACCCCTTATAAGGAATGCTTAGTTCTCCTTCCCAGCCGATGTGGGATCAGATCTAACCCACTTTCCCCCCCCCCCCCCCCCATTATAGGGTTCGACGTCCCCGTCGAACACATCGACCCGTAACCTGGCTCTGATACCATTTGTAACATCCCCCTCTGGCACATATCACAATATTGTCCGCTTTGGGCCACTCGGCACGAGGACTTCCCAGGGGGTCACCCATCCTGGTATTACTCCCGCCCGAGCACGCTTAACTGTAGAGTTCTTATGGGATCTGCTGCCCTCACGGCTTTAAAACGCGTTGTAATAGGGAAGGTATCCACACCCCTTATAAGGAATGCTTAGTTCTCCTTCCCAGCCGATGTGGGATCAGATCTAACCCACTTTCACCCCCCATTATAGGGTTCGACATCCCCGTCGAACACATCGACCCGTGCCCTGGCTCTGATACCATTTGTAAGATTCCCCTCTAGCACGTATCACAATATTGTCCGCTTTGGGCCACTCGGCACGAGGACTTCCCAGGGGGTTACCCATCCTGGTACTACTCCTGCCCGAGCACGCTTAACTGCAGAGTTCTTATGGAATCTGCTGTCCTCACGGCTTTAAAACGCATTGTGATAGGGAAGGTATCCACACCCCTTATAAGGAATGCTTAGTTCTCCTTCCCAGCCGATGTGGGATCAGATCTAACTAGATCCAAAAGCTACGTGCCAGAGGGGGATGTTACACTTTGGATATTCAATTGCATGTTCATTAGACAAACTAGATCCAAAAGCTATTAGGGTTTGCATGTACACCATAGGAATGATGTATTGCTTGAAACCCATCAGTGGTATCAGAGCCTAGGGTCGTTTGTTTGATGTATTTGATGCTATATTTGATTATTCATGCTTAAAATTGAAAATTTTTGGTTTCTGGGGGCTGGACTCGCCGAGTCCATAGTGAACTCGACGAGTCCAAGCCTGACTCGACAAGTCAGAGA